CGGATACGCTGAAGCATTAGTTATTCGAGATCTGAAACCGGACCTCTGCATTAAAAAGCGATACATACATTCTCTCGCCTACCATGGCCAGAGTAAAGTTCTTACTACAATTTCGCTTTCTTCTTTTATTATGTAAGTTCACTGTTATTATTATTATTGTTATTCCCATCATCCACATTTTATTATCACTCAATTACTCTTTATTAATAACATTCCATTTTTTCATACAGATTTTATACAAAAAAACACTTGATCGTTTTTCCACTAGTTCCTGTCCATTCTATACGAGCTTATTGATTAGTTATTATCTCACACTTATTACTTATTATTATTACATCATGCCAACTTCTGTCTCCTTTCTAACCTACAATTAGTCATCCCTTCTTACACCTTACATTATGTAATACAATTTTCCAAGGACCAAAAATTTACCAGTACCTGATTGGTCTGAAGATTTCTTTGTTAATTATAACTACGACTGTACAGCTCATGAAAATGATTCGATAAATAAAGCTTACGTTAACAACATATCAGCGTGGAGGCAAAGATTAATATCTGAAGCTTTATCTATCGAATCAACTGGAGAGAATACGTGTAATAGGAATGATCCAACACCTGTCCATCCTGACATCTGGAAAATCCTACCACCCCTACAACAAATAGGAAAGAACGGAGAAAACTACAAAACGAGAGTTTCAAAGTTGTGAGGTAGTAATTCATGAGGAGATTACGAACAATAAGTTGTGTGCTCGAAACATCATCCAGTAAATAATAGTACCGTCTTACTGTGTGACATATCTAATAAACAAATTAATACGGAATTACATACTACTGCTACAGTGCCCGAGTTCTACACATCATATATGTCTAATGATGAACATTTGATTGTTTAATCATGCTGTTTTTCGTTATTTGTGTTATCACAGATCGCCTCACTTTTTCATCTCTAATATTGATAGAACCATTATTATTATTATTAATATTGTTATCATTACTATCATTATGACTAATATGAAATTAACTAAGGAACTCAACATAGTTTCCGTTCCATATTCCGCTAATCATCCGAATTCACAAAAAAAGGGAGTAAATGTTTGTGGAATTAACTTGACCCATTATAGTGCCTACTGTCCTGGGCTTTACAGATATGGAGACGCAGTGAAATAGGGTTAAACAAGCTGAGAACATTGATGGAACATACTTTGCAACAGGTGCTGAAATACACACGAACCTGGATTTCACCTTAGCCACATAATTTAACATCAGGTTGTTCCTTATCTCTGTTAGTCAAAGAAGACAGCTGCCTTGTTATGAATGGTACGCACTAAGACACTCTGCTTAAGCTCATCATCAGCATAAGAGCCTATGGAAAGTGATCCTATGAAGTGACGGTAATGAATAAGGTTAACTTAAAACTACTCATACATATTATGGATTTTGATTTTGTGTGGAAATCTGACGGGCTACCTAAGAAGTAACTAGCCTAAATAGTGCAGATGATAATTCTGATAAAAAATGTAGAGTCTTCAGGAAGTTCTGAGCATGAGATACGCATATGTGAAGTGGGAGATAATGACGTAGGACTGGTTTACACAGGGTCCTGATTTAGGTAGAGGAAATGAAGTAACTGAATGTAGTGACTTCATTACTGTATAAATCTCACCACAATTACATACCACTGGTGGCTGACGAAATCTCACCATTTTCCAAACTGCAGTAGTTTTGGATCCAGTTGTCGACCAACGACGACATGTAGGCAGACACTGACTACGGTCCTCGGGGTGTTAGGAACCAATTCCTATTTCAGAAAGTTCGACTGCATAGTATACATTTTTTATTAGGTGTCAGAATACGATTCAAGTTTATTGGAGAACGGTTGGTGATACTTTTCAGGCTCAAGGAAGTGGAGAGAGAGAGACTACAACAGGAGACCTGTTCACTGGAAGAGAATATTGTTCGACATGGCTTCAAATCGTTAACTCTGCTACGGATGCGTTCTCCACTTATGATGTTCCGAAATCTGAAAAGCATTACGAAGTTATATCGCCTGAAAATTCCTGTCCATTCTAGTACAAGTATATTCCTTTCCTCTACTTTTGCATATAACACTTTGATGTGTATCAACTTGCACTGATTCACATCTGCAGAATCTCATGTTCACTCACCGTTCACCGTTTAGGCCTCCTAATTAATGGTTGGTTAATCTGCCACCACTAAGTTAAGTCTGTTCAACTCAAAAGACCAGTCGACTGACTCTCAGCAAAGAACTATGCACAAAAGTGCACTAATTCAAGTTGCCACACTCTATTTAAAACCCAAAGGTAGAGAAAAGAAAGGAGTTCAAAAATACTATAAAGAGAAAAACTGTACAACAGAAAGAATGACAAATGATCTTCAAATGACATTAATTTTGTTAAATATACTGACGATCTGACTGTATCTTTGCCTGTCGAATGTCAAAGTGACTGCTCAAAACTAAATGGCTTTTTATCAGAAATCAGCCAGTGGTCCAAGGAAAACGGTCTTACCTGAAAACCCTTCAAATGCCAAACAGTTAATTTCACCTTTAGGCATAAAGCTGACCTAAACAAACTGGTTAGCACTCACGAGGTGTGCAACATAGATGACACTGAAATAGAGACCAAGTCGGAAATTAAATATCTTGGCGTCATTCTATCTGCTGATCTTTCCTGGTCGTCTCATATCTTGACGATTTCTAAGAAAATATTCCGTCTTACCTTCTACATCAAGAAGTTAAGACATTCTGGAATAACCCAACCCTTACTCTTACGATTCGTTAACTCTCGCATTCTGCCTATTATTCTCTATTGTTCCCCCTAGTTTTTCGAGGGTTACAGAAGAAAGACTATATCTTATTACGTAGGGTGTTCAAGGTTGTCAGCAGGGAGAGCAACGTGCCACTTAACCAACTTGTTAATATTCTGGTCGATAGGCACTTGGACTCATGCGAAAAATGGGCTAAATCCATTCTATCTAACTCACACCACCCTTTTCATTCACAACTCTACCCTTGCATCTTATCAGGCAGGACCAGAAGCCTAAATAGAAAACTATATGCTCGCACTAGCAAGTACAAAAACTCAACCATACCCTAGATATAAGAATAAAACTTGTGCACTGTGAGACTATATCAAAAGAAAATTTACCCATAATGGAACAACCATACCCTACTTAGCTCGTGTTCTGTGCGATAAAGAAAGCATTAGGCGTGATACCTATAACTTATTAAATAGCCAGTAGAACAATTGGATCTCGTCTTTCCAACTCATATCATTTATAGATACGTTTTCTCTCTTTCTTTTCCTTTTCTCTTTTTTTGTTTTTTTCTCTTTCTTACAAAACTCACTTGAAACATTCTTCTTCGTTCTTTCACACTCTGTATATCTCGACCTTTTGTTACCGCTTACGCCAGTAAATATGCTAGTATCTACTTTTCTAACACCTTCAAACATTCTGTTCACTTTTGGCTTTGCTACCGATATGCTAATATGTTGTTGTCAAAATTAACTGAGACTACCCACAATCTATGTCGAATTTTATTTATTGTTAATGCACAAACTGGATGCAATACTGTAGTGAAGTGCTGAGAATTCCATTCTGTTTTGAAATAAAGTAAATTATTAATATTATTATTGATGGTAACATCGAAAAACATGAGGATTTCACGCATCTCGAGGATTACAAGGAGTTATTACATCTGCGCCATTCATAACGACTTTAAGCCATATCACCAACAGTTTTCAGTGATTGGTACTTAGCATCCCAAGGATCTCAACCTGGTAATCTACACTTCCCTACAAGTCTGGTTTAAATCAACGTAGCTAGCTCAAACCAGCTGTCAAATACTTTATGAACTAATGTTGGGCTTTGAAATGACCACTCCTCATTCTTTCCCAGACTAATCCTATATCAGTTGAAATTGCTCGTCGGGGGAAGGTGGTGGCCCGTCGTGCGTGACATGTCCTAGGCATGTCAATCGATGTAGCTTAGCAACTTCACCGATTGACTTTCCCTCCTTCTCACCTAACACTACGCCTAACCCCAAAATTACTCACCACATTACACCCTCTAACACAGCAGACAGGACATAAATATCTGTAGTCAAAACAAGGCCAACCTTTTAAGTTTTCCAATTCTCAATGGTCATGTCTTACAGCCATAACAAAAAGAGAATTTATTCGGTCAAGAATTCATTTCACACAACCAATTTTTACCATCATAAGCTACACTGAGGAACACAAAACACATTAGAAAATTTCGAATTAAGGGACACAAGATGAAGATTATCTGGACCCATTGGTTTCCGTAGATTTAGGGAAATCAGCGTGACTAATTTATCATACGAGGAAAGACTAGATAGTTTAAATCTCTTCTCCCTATCATACATACCGTAGGCAGAGAGAAGATTTAATCACAATGTTTAAAATTTTAAATAATGACTACGGACTTGCCCTATTCTTTCTTTTTTCCCCACCAGTCGGAACACCTTAGAGGACATAGCAGGAGAGTTCAAAAGCCAAGAAGAAATCATATTGCTGTTGAGTACTGGTTCTCACACCGAGTCATAAACTCTTGGAACCGACTCTCAGAAGAAGCGGTGTCTGCAACCTCAACTGATTCATTCAAGAAGGGTTTAGAAAAGCACAGAAATTTACTAGAAAAGTACGAACATAAGCTCAAAGCCTTCTATCCTCAACCAATATATATGAAATCTGAATATGCCATAAGTGTTGTATGTACCAGGTTAAAGGCTCTTGAGAGAAAAAGCTTGAAACTGAATCAATTTTATTTTCATGAAATATTATATCTCAACACTTTGTCTAACATATTACTGAAATATTGTGCAAATTATTCTTTGTAACATTAATTACACTTGGAATTCTTGACCACTACTTTGCAGTTTGACGACAATATTGAGTTGTGGGGAAAGGTGTAACTAAATACACCTAACCCTCCTCCAGTTTATATTTGATATTAACACAGATTATAATTACAATCGTATTTACAGAACTCCTAGATTCCGGTTATATGAATTTCTCTTATATTTTAGAAACTATACGATTAAACCTCCGAATCAAGTTCTTCTTTAGCAAGAGAACGTATAACACTATCATCGTGGTACATCTCCGCATACTCCTTTTCGACTGTCTTGATGTTTTTTAGAAGATCTGGGCTGGTGAAAAAGTCTGAAAATGTATATTTTTTAATCCACTTACCAGCGAAGTGTTCCCGGGCATTTTCAGGCTGTTTAGTCAGTATATCCCTGCAAAAAATAACAAATATTTATACTAGATACCTCAAAAATGCTGTCACCATATACTTCACTTCCGGATGTTGCCGCAAATACTGTTCATTACTTAACCGTGTTTGAGTCTAAAAAGTAAGAAGTTTATCAGTGTAAACCTTGAGTTTATTTGTCGCCCCTTGTTGAGCATTACTGAGAGCACCAAGATCTCCATCTCTTCCGAGATCATACGGTTCCATTGAGGCTGGTGGATCATGTTTAGGAGGAGCGGACCCCAAACCGAACATGACCTTCAGAGCCGAATTACCCGGTGCCTCGGTTGTATATGGTGGCATTATGGTTTAAGCAACATGAATGTAATTGAAGCTTACTTCATAATTTCACTGGGCATCATCGTTGGGTGAAGATATTAGCAATCTAATGACAACGAGAAAACAGTCACCTCACTTGTTATGAATGCAAAGACTAGAATAAAGTACGGTGACACAAGCTGACGCGGTTGAACAAATAATCAGATGGTCACATATTAAAAATACATACTTTAGGCAAAAGGATTTATGGAAAATGAAAGATGTAGTGCAAAATTATACAGGGGGCAATACAGGCTGTGATCAAGAAATACCTTCCAATTCGTCACCGGGGATTTTACTGTTCAATATCCAATATCGTTTTTACGAGCTAGTATAAACCAATTTGATTTCTTTGTGCTCGCCTCTTGATTGTGTGGTAGAGGTCCGCGCTAATTACTCCCCATTAATTCACAGAGATAACTGTTTTTCAAAACAGTTTGCCGTTCGAATTCCAGCAGAATCATTCCATGGAATTGATGTGTGTCCCATGCAACGAAACAACAGAAACAGAAGTGTTTTTCAGTGGAAAATAAGGCTGGATGGCAACAGTCTGTAACTACTTCGTTCATCCATGTAAAACGCTGTCCCAAGAATCATAAGCCGTTGCATGATTGGTATTTTTAAGCTTGCACCATGGTCATAGATTCTCTGCACACCTCATTTCTGCAGTATTATATCGTGTAATCTCATTATCCATGTCTGATCTGTTCCGTGTCATTTGGCTGGTTGTTATTTTAGGTAGCTTTACTTCAGTCTATCCAATATACAACGAGTTCCGCATCGAAGCTTTCTGCTTGCCTGATTTTTCTACCTGTAACGCTCAGAAACAGGATTAATTGTCGTATGAGGTGTTAGGGTTAGGGGATGGCCCAATCATTTCATTACACAATTTGCTGATGAACTCAAGGATTTTCACATTCTTTTCTTCAGATTCTTCACTCGAGGCCACTTAGTGTCTGTTACAATCAATTTTCAGCCATTGTCTTACAAAACATCAACTTCGTGGGATTGCCGAGTTATAAGTTTGATCCTTTAATATCTATCTAAGCGAAGAATCACGAGTAAGACTATTTATATCTAGATTTGCAGTTGACAGTGAAGAAACTTGTCGCCAGCGTTTCAAGAGTGGAGTGAGATCATCATTATTCCTCGGATTGAATGCTGGTAAAGGAATCTGTTCGCTTAAAAATAACCTGTCAGTCTAAAGCCTTCAGAAGTGACATTGGTGCCTGTGGAATAAACTGGCAGTTCTTACATGAACCATAGGTTTAGCAAAATGTTTTAGCCCAGGCACCAGTGTGCCTTATACGCATACACTTGTGAGAGCACAAGGGTCATTCCTAACTGTCTGTAGTAATGCTGAAACGTGTCTGCCGACCGGAGGGATTGGGGTCAGAAAACTTTTTAGTGAAATTCGAGCCCAGTGACTTTTCGTGAATGACACATTCCCTTTTAGAAAGACTGAAGGCTCGGTAGTACTCTTGTTGTCCTGCGACAGATATGTCGTCAGTATGAGTAGTCGTGAAGGCGAGTAAATATTACGTCAGCAACTTCAATGTCATACAGCCCTTCGATGTGTTGTAATGAAGCCTCTTGCTCAAGGTGTCACCATGTTCCTTTGCATGTTCCCAATGGTTGACCAATTTATGCTGTATTAATCACTAAAACTCCGTTTGCCGAGAGTTATGGTGGTAGTTCGAGGATTAGTTTAATGATTTTAGTGATCCAGTAGATATGGGGTATGAACGAGACCCTCAAGGTGGTCGCAGACCAAGCGGAAATTAATGATATTTTGTGCGCTTAACTGATCGAACGTGGCTCACGTTCTTGGCATGTTTTACATTATCATTACCAAATATGCATACTGATGACTAAAACGAGACCTGTATATTTCGCCCTGGGTAAATTAACATTAAGGTTAAACCAGGTAGCGTTTTTGGGTCACTTCTATGTACAGTTCACATTAATGGCATTTATGACTACTCCCAGGTAAAGTATTCTTATACTGTGACGACCTTGTTTTCGTCTACTCTTCGGATGTTCATGAATAAAGCAACCTGACGAATAATGTTTATCTTGAAACAAGCCGTGACGCACTGTTTTGCGTTAGACCCTGTTTGAAATTAAACACCATGAAATGCAGGTGGATTTGCATTGTTGATAATGATCCTCGCCTAATTTTCAAAGTAAATGGCCGAAACTTCCTGAAATTAACTCAGCTGTAGATTTCGGAATCACATATTATATTGAACAAACCGACCACAATAGGCGTAGAACACATGGAGTTCTATGTTGCTTCACCTGCGATTTCCCTTTGTTCCATAAGACTGAATGTGAAAAGCGTGCGTCCACCTTATTTAGAATACTGTCTATTCGTAGTGCACTTCGGCCAAGTGACAACATCAAACTTGACAAAGTTTAGGGACACTTCACTTGAAACCCCTTGGCCCAGAATGCGGCTTTGGATACCATGAGTGCCGCAATGCGCCGGTAGTCAAGACCAAACGCCACCTACCTCTGAAAGTTGATCCATCACCTTTCACGTACACTAAGGCGAATTATTAAATGCACCTGAGTCGCAGCCTCAGAAATCATAACAACGTGGTCGCTGTAGGAAGGTATCGGACGTATACACTAAAAAACTTCCCCCTGAATAGTTCTCCGACTATTTGGAATAGACCGTTACCTATGCCAAAAGTTTTGAGTTGATTTTCGAACAGAGACCGACACGGAGGAAAAGATGCTGTTCAGTTTCTTATCCTGTAAACCTCCTGCTAAGTCAGTGTCTCGGCAGGGGGAACGGCGTCCTACAGTACGTTTTAGACAACAGAGCGGATATCTAATTCCACACATCTTTTTGACGCTGCCGCTAGGTGGTTATCTCACCAATCTCGTTATCTCACTCCGCTGTCCGTCCTCAACTTTCACACGAGTTGCTTTTCAGATAGTACATTATTGGCCCCTCAGTGGATTGGGAAAGTTCTCACATCAAGCACAAACATCTTGCGGGTCGCACACTAGTTCTACTCACGAGGATGAGCAAATCTTGAGAAGGGAATGGAAGAAAGTATCAATAATGTATTCCCATTTTGTGTACAATAGGGATTCCATTTTACAGGCATCATCAATATGACAAATACTATACACTTGGAGTAAGCATATTTGCAATTTTCACTTGCACGGGATATTCATGCGAGGAAAGGTAATGGAATAATGTGGGTAAGCACACTTTACGTAGCTCAAAACAATTTAAATGATATAATCTTAGGCGTCATTATTTTCTGAATTTGTCAAAAAAGCGCGTAAAAGCTGAAGGTTGAGTTACACGTGGCCGATATGGTGGGCTATTCACAAAAGTATAAAAATGGCTTGTTTACCGACAATAATGTTTGCACGAGCCGTTCACGGGTTGATATCAGTTAGAGAACCATTGAAAACAAACAGGCAGTGCTGAACAGATGTTTCATCCTACTTCGGGAACCACCAGCAGTGTTCGAACGCGGGACCTGCCAATTACAAGGCAAACTCATATACCATTTAGCCACTGGGAAACGATTGTGTGGCCCATGAATTCTATCTTCTACTAACTTGTTTTTTTTCCTTCACATTCCCCAGTGGAACATAGGGCTTCAGGCTAGTGGCTTGAAGTTTCTGTAGCAGTGGTGTTTGTTTTTACAGGATGGGGTTGCTAGCCTCATGCCCAACCTTTCCTCTTCACCAGCATTATTTCTGGCTAAGCGAGGTAAAGGAGTGCGTCGGCCGGGGATCGAACCCCGGACCATGTGCATGGTCGGCGAGCGTCCTAACCGCTATGCCACCGACGCTGCTACTAACTTGTACTGCCGGTGATTTCCGAATTAGGATGAAACAGCTGTCCAGTACTCCCTGGTTTTCAGTGGTTCTCCAACTGATATCAATCCATGATCAACTCGTAAGAAATCAATTTAATCCTTACAAACCAACTATTGAAATTGTTTTCAACGACAATATCTGCGAGAGGCTCACCACAGCAGTTATTTTCCAGTTAAACATGTGAAGTATTAATGAAACACCATAGCCAGCAACCGGTGGATTTCATAGTTTATTTCGGTCAGGAACCAGAATGGTTGCAAACCCTTCCATACAAAATGTCGAATGAAGCTTGCAGGAACAGAATATTATCATCAGATAATAATAATAGTATATTCTCATTTTTTACATGAGGGACGCCAGTTTACAGGCATCATCAATATGATAAATTACATATACGATTAGTAAGCATATTTAATAATAGTAATTTAATAAAATACATTTTTTCCTACCTGTGTAGGACACACCAATTGTACAGGCATGGATAAGTATTGTTTAAATTACATAAATTTGGTTCATGGTAAAATTATAAGGTTGCAGTCATTTTGTCTATGGGAAAAATATGATAACTAGTCATTCAATGGAGCACATCAAGAAATATAGAAATATTGTCTGCGCATTAACAAAAAAACCCAAGTATGTTTTGGATGGATTACAAATACTTGGGAAAAAATAAAGCTTGAAGTAATTCTTCCATATAACTTTGGTGTGTACGGCATCGAGTCTTATTCTTGATTTATATCCACATTTGATAATAATTTAAAATAAGTAATACACTTGTATACTTTTGTCAGCATTTTCTTCGTAACATCACAAGTGAATAGTACTCAATGTAGACTAATAATAATGACAGTCTATATTTTCTTATAAACGGGTGTTTTCAAAAAATGCAAGCTATTTTTGCAGGTACAATCAGTTATGTTGTAAGTTACAATCGTGAAGTATTATAAATCAATACTTTTTTATTGGTATAAAGATATATTTCACAACTGTAATCCAGGTTGCGTCGTTGGTGAAGGCAATGCGCAATTCACGAGGGAATTGCAAGATATGGGATCAATAATGTTTGCAGATCATTTGTCATTGTAAATGGGCAAATATCTACATTCTTCATTCTCATTCAAAAAGTCAAATGGAAGCTGAAATGGTGAGAGACAAAAGAAGACAAACAACAACAACGCAAAAAAAGCGAGTGGAGTACTTAGGGAGTGATTAATATGTATATATACATTTATATTCTGTTTAGTAATTATAGTTATTTTGGTGCACTAACTAAGTATTCC